TTTTTTAAAAAGAAATCTTAAAAAAAAAAAAACAAAAACAAGCAGACAACTCCTTTCCATTGAATGGATTTTTAGTGCTAGTCACTCCAAGTCTTTTGTATCTTCCAAAAGGCATAGGGACTGCCGCATTCTTGAACCACCTGTCTGAATTCCCTCCTTTATGGAGCGCTCCAGGACAGGCCACCATTCCCTTATTCTACCACTTTTCTTTTTGTAATTCCTGGGGATGGAATTCATTACTTCTTCTTTCAAAGCACAGCCTCCCTGTCAGAGTGATATATAATTAAATAACACGACTGTGCATCACCATACACAGGGCACTGTTCTAAGTGCTTTAAATATAGTGTATTTAATCCTTACAATAACCAGATGAAAAAGGTACTATTACCTAATTTTACAATGAGGGTTTTACTTTGCCCAAGGTAACACAACTAGTAAGTGGTAAAGCCACTCAATCTTTCTCCCTGACAGTCCTTCTCCCTATCAGAATACCCTATTAATGCAAAAACTCAGGTGTTGACTAGATGTTTGAATGTTCTATTCAAAATCCAGATTCAGGTAAAGTCTACAAAAACTACAAACTGACACCCATAATACCAACATTCCCGCTTTATCTAAGAAAAGTCATTCAACTCAAGACAGTCTGACAAGCAGCACCCCTACTTTCCAGGTGACCGGGACAAAGCCAGCCTGGTCAGTAAGTGCATGAGCCACTATGGGGTGGCACCAGTTTCCTGTGTGTGCTCTGGCCAGTGCCCACTTCAGAGGAGGTGGTTAGCCTATCTCTGCAAGTGGAAGTAATTCAGGGATTTTCCCGAGACTTAGCAGCAGTGGCAAAGTGCGAAATTTCCCTAACTCTACTCTAGGTATCAGCTACTGTCTGCACCTGCTAAAGGTGAACTAGCTTCAAAGAATTCAGTCCAGTCTCATCAGAATTGACCGAGTCTGCCTAATTTCACAAGCTAATAATACAGATGAAGGGGTTTAAATAAACATGACTACCTTAGGTTCCCCTTTCAAATTACTTTACACAAGAAGCAATGCACTTGCACCTTCAGGAATCAACTTAAATTTGACAGGATTTCAGAAAACTCTGATTGAAAATCACATTCTTCTGACATCTCCCAGAATGAAAATCTGTTTGTAAGATCCTCTTTTCAATGAGCAGCAACCTCCTGTAAATTAATACTGTCTATCTCCTGCTCAAGCCCTGAACTTCCTCAAGCAGCACAACGTCACTCATGTGTTCTTCATTTCCTTTCCTATTGAACCGTACAAGCCTCGTGAATACCACCTAAGTATAAACTGAAAATTATAAAACAGACTCCCATAATCTTCTTAAAGAAAGCCCAGCCCTGGATGGTGTGGCTCAGTGAATTGAGTGCTATCCTTCGAACTGAAAAGTCACTGGTTCAATTCCCAGTCAGGACACATGCCTGGGTTGTGGGCCTGGTCCCCAGGTGAAGGTGTGCACCACACAACTGATCAATGTACCTCTCACACACTGATGTTTCTCTCTCTTTCCTTTTCCCTCCCTTCCCCTCTCTCTCAAAATAAATAAACATTCAAACATCTTTTTTTAAAAGCCCAAAATGATAATTGCAACCTTGCAAAGTAAATTGATTTCCTGCTAACGTAATAACTAACAATTATCAATACATTGTATTAACAGGCATAAGACAAAAAGGGGACCTAAAATTACTATATTATGCCTTGGCTGGTGTGGCTCAGTGGATTGAGCACTGGCCTGCAAAACAAAGAGCTGCTGGTTCAATTCCCAGTCAGGGCACATGGCTGGGTTGCAGGCCAGGTTCTCAGGAGGGAGCATGCAAGAGGCAACCGCACACTGATGTTTCTCTCCCTCTCTTTCTCCTTTCCTCACCCTCTGTCTAAAAATAAATAAGTAAATAAACCTTTCTAAAAATTAAAATAAAATGAAGTTACTATGTTATGGTCCTTGCTTTGAGAAACTCACTATTAAATAGAAGAAGTACATAGTTTGATACTTCTTATTTTTGGATTGTTTTTTAAAGTTTTTATTGTATTTTTTCCATTACCATTTACGCACTTTAAACCCCTCTCCCTCCAGCAATCACCACTGTTGCCCATGTCCATGAGTCCTTGCTCCTTTTTGCTGATACTTCTTTTTTGTTTTCTTTTTCTTTTTTTTATTTAATTATTGTTCAAGTACAGTTTTCTGTCTTTTACTCCCATCCCAGCCCACGCCCTCTGATACTTCTTTATAAACAGACAAAATAAAACCTTTTTCCCCGGGGATTTTTTAAATTTATTTCCCTGGTCATATATGCCCTAACTTCCTCAGAGCTATGGCCAAGGTATTACGCTCACCAGGCCTCTTTATTTCCACTGCCCAACGTCTCTATGTGCATATCCCACAAGCAACTTGATCTCAGCACACCAGACTATCTCCCCTGAGCCTCTTTCCACAGCCACCCCATCTCTCTCTCTCTCTTTTTTTTTTTTACATTTGGAGAAATTGCAGGGCTCAGCACATCCAGAGTGCAATCAATAAGCCTCACCCTGGGAAAATCACCTTCGTGATCCTATCTCCCCTACCAGGTAAGTATTTCAGCCCCAACTCAAAAAATCTGCTCTACTTTTTCCAGGCCAGTGAAATGCCCATTCACCCAATCTCACAAATTAGAAAACTTATCCCACTCTCTCTCTCCAGTCACTGAGTCCTGTTGCATCTATCTCCAAATTATCCATTCCCCACTTCTTCATTCTTACTGCCACACCTTACTCAGACTCTCAATCAATTGCAACAACTCCAATTAGTCTCACTGCCTCATTTCTCATTAATTTTAATTTTCACTTCTGTCACTCCCTAACATAAAAAGCACCTCCTGCCCTGGCCGGGTAACTCAGTTGGAGGGTCATCCCAATAGGTCAAGGTTGCAGGTTCAATCACCAATCAGGGCACATACAAACAAGAGTGTGTGAATGAGTGGAACAATAAATCGATGTTTCTCTCTCTCTGTCTCTCTCCCTCTTCCCCTCTCTCTTCCTAAAATCAATAAACAGGGAGGGGAATAATGATGGATAGAATGGGAAGGGACTAGTCAAAGAACAAGTAAGAATGACCCATGGACATGGACAGCAGTGGGGAGCAGGGGCTAAGGGGCTGGGCTGCGCAGAGGAGGGCAAAGGGGTAAAAACTGGGATAACTGTTACAGAATAACAATTTTTAAAATTTAAATAAAATCAGCCCTGGCTGGTGTAGCTCAGTGGATTGAGCATGGGCCTGCGAACCAGACAATCGCGGTTCAATTCCCAGTCAGGGTACATACCGGGGCTGCAGGCCAGTTCCCTGCAGGCCAGTTCCCAGCAGGGGATGCGTGAGAGGCAACCATACACTGATGTTTCTCTCCCTCTCTCCTTCCCTTCCCCTCTAAGGATAAATAAATAAAATCTTTAAAAAAAAATTAAATAAAATCAGAAAGAAAAAAGCACCTCCTGACAGCTTCCCCACCACACATCCTGACTGGGACAAAGTTCTGACACTTCAGCGTCATGTTATTTTCCTTCCTCCCATTTTCACCGTTTCTATGCACATACTGTTCTAACTGGAATGCCATTTCTTATTTGCGAAAGCTCCTACTCATCCTCATCACCCAACTCAAGTATCTCCCCTTGTGAAGGTTTCTCTGACTCTCCCAGGCAATGGCTATAGTCCTTTCATTCTGTATAAATTCCTCTATAAGGACACGTACCACATGGCACCACAATTTTCATAACCACATTTTTTTATGTTCTTGAGGAAAGATACTCATATTTCCAACCCCAGTGGCATGTACATAGCAAGTGCTCAATAAATGCATATTGAATAAACAGTTCACCTTCATATATCCTGAATCAATTGATTTGGCTCTTTCCCCCAAATATTATGAATTCTTAAACTTGACTTTATGTAAAATTTCAAGTTGCTTTTCTTTTAGAAACAAAAGCCAAGCTTATTAGCTCATTTCTTTGTATTTGAGGTAGTCCTCGATGACATCCTTTGCCTGAGATTCTTTGCCATAGTCCTTAACTGCCACACAACTGCAACCAACCACTTTACTGGGTTTTCCCTCTCTGTTGATTTTGCAGAGGCCTACCCATTCCCCTAGTTTCTTATTGTCGTCAACCTTAATTAGGCTGATTTGCTGTTCAGCACAGAAGGCCTCCACCAACTTGATAAAAAAGGCTCATCACAGTTGGCAAACACACAAAGGTGGGCTTGGCGCTAAATTAAGGCTTGGGCAGCTTCCGTTCCACACCCTGGGGCATCATGGACAAGGGCAGTCTTCACCTCTTGTAAAGCAGTTTTGACATCCATCACAACTCCATCAACAATGCCTTCCTCGGCCACAGCCCCCGCGGTGGGTTATGCATAGAACCGAATCTCTACTGCATCCAAGCCTCTGCCTCTGCACAATTCTGCGGGCCAACTCCACGGAGTCAGGGAAAGAGCGAAATTTCAAGTTTTATAACAACTTCTTTGAGTTGCCAAGAGTTTTTTATTATCATTATACAATGTTGAACAAGTGAATGAACTATAATGCTTAAACGTCCAAGGAAAACACCTTAAAGGCTCCCCTATTCGCTAAAACAATGGTAAATCCGCCTTTACAGTCCTAACAAGAACGATCCACCTTTCTCTAAACTGATTATCTGAGAGGTCTTCATAAAGGAAGTACTGTGCACACAAATCCAACGGAAGGCACACCCAAATAATTTCAGCTAACTTGCGCTAAAGGCAGGTACACAAACCATATTTGCCCCAGTTTACAAAGTCACTGAGAGCTCAGAATAGCAAAGAAACAGCTCTCACTCAGATCAAAACTTTTTCTGTAGAGGAATAACCAGGAAGGGTCTGATGATCAAGTAACATTTATTCGGGCCTGACCCAAATTTCTACTTCCCCCATTCTGCTGAGACAGCACCCAGCTTCTGATAGCCCTCCTTCTCAAGGGAACTACTTTATTCCCCACACTTGCCTGGGAACAGGTTCCTTTCCCAGGTTCATACCAAGTAACCCAGAGAAAACACAGCTGTTCCATTGATTCTGTGCGAAGGGTGGGCTGAAGCCCGTCAGCCATAAAAAGAGAGGCATGACGGAGCTTTCGGGACACCTGAAAACTCAGGGGAGGCGGGCCTTTCCTTAGCCGTTCTCAGATGTCTTCCCCCAAGCCCTCACCCCAGGGCTAGGCCGGGCTGAAGGCCACCCAGGGACCGGAACCATCTGAGAGCGGACACAGCTTTAGGGGTCAGGGTTGGACCCGTGTTGAAGTCAAAGGTCAGCGCCTAGGCTGCCGGGAGGGCCCAAAAGGAACCAAGAGGGACGTGCCCAGCACCCGACCTTCCGCGGGCCTCGCCTCTAGAAAAGCAAGCCTCTTCCCGCTCCTCTCCGCTCCACCGCCCTGGGCCCAGCCTCCCAGCCTCCCCGCCTCACGCAGCTTCAGCCCGCCTCATCAGCTGTCCTCCTTCCTTCCCACCCGCCCCTCGTCACCCGCGTCGTCCCCAAAGCGAGCTCAAGCCCCGCCCCCAGAGCCGCCTCTGGACCAAGGCCTAGTACAGCAGGGCCCGTAGGGGTTGGCCAGGATCGGACACGGCCTGGGCCGGCGCGGCTTACCGAGAGCCCGGTTCCTCCTCCACCACCCGCGCCGCTCCTGGGCGCGCTGGCTCCCGACGCCACCGACGCTGCTCCCGGCTTACGGCTCCACTCGCGACCTCCCCCAGCCCTTCCCCAGGCCTACAGTACCCCGCTGGGTCCTAAAACCCGCCTCTTGATAGGTTTGTCCACGCCCTGGGGCTGGCTCAGACCACGACTCCCAGCAAGCATCACAAAGACAACTCCCGAAATGCACCGCGGAAAAGAAATTAATAAAAGAAACATCTATTAAGTATCTACTGGATGCAAGTTGCAATAGCAATGCTGTTAAATATGGCAGCCTCTGAATGCAGCAATTCTACTTCTACGAATGAATGTATCTTCAAAGATATATACTTCCAATCTGTTTATGACAACTTTGTAAGTGAAAGATTGGAAACAAACTCATTCATTTAATGAGATACTGTGTGCGTACTCAGTGAAAAAAAAAACCGTATATAAGTTTGTGTTAACTAGGCAAATAACCTGAGTCTGTTTTCTCATGCAAAACGAAAGATTCAAAAACATATGCTAGGCATTGACTTCAGTGACTTTATGGAACTCGAACAGAGCTACTTTGGAGCCATTGGCTTACTGGTAATGGCTCAAGCCATGAGAGGGACAGAATGGCCTAGGAAGAAGGTTAAAAGAAAAATTCGGTCAAGATAGAATTTAAACACATACATTTAAAGGATGGTGGAGGAAAATGAACCAACAGCAAATAAAATTCTGAAGAAAGCATTATCTAGAAAAGAGAAAGGTAGAAGAAAAAGATGCTGTGGAAACCACAGGAGGGATTTTCAGGTCAGCAGTGGTTTGAGGAATGAATGGAAGAAAGGACAATGGAGGAAGCAAAAACTTGACCGAAAGGAAAGGGAGAGGGAGCAGTGAGAAGATGAGGATGAAAAAGTGACTTCTAAGCCAGGACAGATAGGAGCGTTTCTGTGCTAAGAGCAAGAGGACAGAATGAAGCTGATGAAGTAGAAATGGATGCAGGTTCTCAGTAAATTTGTGGGAAAAGAAAGGTAGAGGCAGGTCTCAGGAAGAGGCACTGGACTTGGAGGGAGGAAGCATACTGCATCACCTGAGAAGGCAGTCAGAGATGGGAAGGACCCCTACATATCAACTTGTATGTGTTGCCGGAGAAATTACACACAAACTCAGTGCTTCTAAAGTATGGTTTAATCTTGTGTTCTAGCAAGCTGTTAGTTTGGGTGATGAATTGTTGATAAAGTGGTTTTGGTGCACTTACTCTGGACTCACATTGCCTGTAGTTGAAAGCCCACCTCTGCCTCTACTGCTGTGTGATCTTAGTCAATTTACTGATTATCTTTCTGTGCTTTATTTTCCATATATGTAAAAGTGTCTTATTGTATGGAAATATTAACTATTGTAATTATTCTCCACTAAATTGTCACCTCCATGAGGTTGAGGGTTTTTATTTTGTTCAGGGCTATCTACTCAGAGTAGGTGCTCAGCTGGTTGGAGCATCCTCCCATACTCGGGAAGGTTCGATTCAGGTCAGAGCATATGCCAGGGTTGCGAGTTCGATCACGGGTTGAGGAACCCATGTGGGGCAATCAATCGATGTTTCTCTCTCTCTCTCCCCCCCTTCCCCTTCCTCTCTCTCTAAAAAAAGCAATTAAAAAAAGTCCTCGTGTGAGGATAAAAACCCCAACAATTTCATGAATAAATGAGTGAATAAGTTGGGATGAGAGTTTGCAAGGGAAAGGAAGCTTTGGGGAAAGACGCTTTCAGCAGGACCGGAATCCCCAATTCTTAAGTCAGACTCTGGCCGCTCCGAGGCTTCCGGGTGCCTGGACCAGCGTCCCTACGGATAGCACGATCAGAGGCGCTGAGATGTAGCTCACCCCAGGCTCGGCTCCCGTGGCTCCTCCCCCGGTGAGCTTTGTCATGCAGGCGGGGCACCAACAGGGCCAGCCCAGAACAGGCGGGGCGGGGCGGAGCCCACTCTCTGGTCCGGCCTCAACCCACCTCTTCACCTCGGACGGAAGTCACAGCTCCACTCTCGACCTCCTCGGGGAACCCCGGACCCATAGCCCGCCCCCGCCCCACGGGGCAGTGGGGCCTGAGCTTGCCCCGGAGCGCGCGGCACCATGAAGCGTGTGGCGACTCTGCGCCTGCTCTCGGACCTGAGCAACTTCGGCGGCGCGGCCCGGCTGCGGGAGTTTCTGGCTGCGGACCCAGCCATCCTAGTCCGCTACAGCCCAGACGGCCGCCACCTGCTGCTGCTGCGACCCTCGGGGACGCCAGCCCCGCAGCTGCTGGTCGCCGTGCGTGGACCCGGCGAGGAGCTGGAGCGCGCCTGGCCGGCGGACCACCCCTCCCCTCTAGACGCCTTCTTCCTGCCATGGCCCGTGCGACCCGCGCTGGTCTTGGTGTGGGAGAGTGGCCTGGCGGAGGTGTGGGGCGCGGGCGTGGGGCCTGGCTGGCGACTGCTTCAGAGTACGGAGCTTTGTACGGGCGGTGCATCCCGCGTGGTTGCCGTGGCGGCGCCTCGAGGCCGCCTGGTGTGGTGCGAGGAGAGACGTGCTGATGCTGAGGGCCCGCTGCAGCCGCCCTCAGCCGCTTTCAGCCACTACGTGTGCGTCAGAACCCTGGAGCCCAGCGGGGAGGCCGGCACCAATCTAGGCCGCACACACATCCTTCTGCACCACTGCCCCTCTTTCAGTCTACTGGCCTCTCGCAAGGACCTCTTCCTGGTGCCCACTGCCACCACCTGGCCTGGCGTGGACCACATTCTACTCATCTGGAGCCCAGGAAAGGGTAAGTTAATGGTGACTGCCCCAAGTCTTCACCTCTCCTACAGTAAGAGCCTGAATCCTGGACGAGGGGACACATGGGACTTCCGGACCCTGATCCGAGGCCTTCCTGGGCTGCTGTCCCCTAGGCAGCCATTGACTGTACATACCTGGGCCCCAACTCCCCAGGGCCTGCTGTTGCTTGACTTCAGGGGCACTGTGAGCCTGATTCAGTCCCACGGTGGTACCCGGACTGTGGGCACGCTGCAGGAAGCACCTGGAGGCCTGACAGGGTCTGCAGCACTGGGAACATTTCACGGTACTCTGGCCTGTGTGCTGGGTTCCACACTGGAACTGTTGGACATGGGCAGTGGGCAGCTGTTGGAGAGGAAGGTACTCAGTACAGACAGAGTACATTTGCTTGAACCCCCAGCCCCTGGCAAAGAAGATGAGGAGCAGATGGAGACACGAGGGGGTCTGCGTTTGCTTTCAGCCTTGGGTCTGTTTCAAGTCGGGTGGGAAGTCCCACAGGGCCTTGAGCTGCCTTCAGCTGGAGACCTGGTGTTTGAGGAAGCCTGCGAGTACTACCAACGGCGGAGCCTACGCGGTGCCCAGCTCACCCCAGAGGAACTGAGACACAGCAGCATATTCCGGGCACCTCAGGCTCTGGCCTCCATCCTTCAGGGCCATGTGTCCCCATCTACACTATTGACGACGTTGAGGGCCGAGCTCCGAGATTACCGGGGCTTAGAGCAACTCAAAGCCCAGCTGGTGGCTGGGGATGATGAGGAGGCTGGCTGGACTGAGCTGGCAGAGCAGGAAGTGGCACGCTTGCTGAGGACCGACTTGATGGGAGACCAGCTGGCCCAGCTGAACACCATTTTCCAAGCCCTTCCTACAGCAGCCTGGGGTGCCATCCTCAGGGCCCTGCAGCTCCAACCAGATGGGAATGGCAGGTTGAGGTCCCAAGCTCCTCCTGACGTGTGGAAGAAGGTACTAGCAGGTACAGCAGTTGGAAAGGAACTCCCCAATGGAGTACTGCCCCTCTTTGAACTACTATGCCAGTGCCTCTGCCAGCTGGAACCACGATGGTTGCCACCCTTTGTGGAGTTGGCACAGCAGCAAGGTGGGCCTGGCTGGGGGGCAGGGGGCCCAGGGCTCCCCCTGTATCGCCGAGCCCTGGCAGTACTAGGTGAGGAGGGTACCAGGCCTGAGGCACTGGAGCTAGAGCTGCTTTTGGGCAGTGGGAGGCCCAAAGCTGTGCTCCAAGCTGTGGGGCAGCTAGTGCAAAAGGAGCAGTGGGAGCGGGCTCTAGAGGCTGGCCTGGCCCTCGGCCCCTCCAGCCCCCTTCTTCGAAGTGAGATCTTCAAACTGCTGTTGGCCGAATTTGCCAGGCACCGTCGGCTTGATGCTTATCTACCCCTCCTGTGCCGCCTGTGCCCACCAGAACTAGCTCCAGCCGAGCTCCTGCTTCTACTGCGGACACACCTCCCAGATGAGTTGAAGCCCCCCACCCCATTTCCTGAGCCTGGAGTAGAGCCCCCTCTCACTGTGGGCTTGGTCAGAGCTCTGCTGGAGCAGGCAGGGGCTCAAGGACAGCCCACAGGCCCAGTTTTAAGCCTATATGAAGACATCCTCTGGGACTCAGGCACTCCACCCCCGGCTCCACCTCGGGGACCTGTGACTACCCTACAGGCATCAAAGCACGCAGGCCCAGAGGCCTGGGCACCATCTGGACAGGACCTCTGTGTGACTGACATGGGCTGAAAGTCATTTCTGTGTTTGGGGAAGGGGGCCCGGTAGTTGGAGAGGGCCGGGATGGGACCTGTGTGTGCAATACTCCTCTATTCTGGAGCAATGTTGAAATATATGCATATGTTAAATACTGCAGTATAGTAAATGTTTGGTCTTTATCCTCAGGGTTTTTTCCCCCCGGTACCTCCTAAAACCCT